TATAAAATAGTTGTTTGGAAATTTCTCACAGAAAGCCACTTTATTCCTTTTACCTGTTATTTCTTGCATTACAGGTATTTTGATTATTTTTAGTTTCTTATCCTTTCTTGAACTAGAAAAGGAAGTGTAATTTTGAAAATGTACTCTGGATGTACTCAATGAGATGAGGCACACCTGATGAACATGATAGACACAGCAATTCTAGCCTTAGATAAGCCCACTCTTAATATTTCTATTTCCACACTTCTGTTAAATGCTTCCGTGTATGTTTCTCCTAATAGGCAACTCTAGGGCATGGCCAGGAGCATATTCTCTTAAGGCTCAGGGACTCAAAAATCTAGCTGAACAAATCAACTGCATGGGAGAACAGTAGCCTGAACAAGCCTGGAGCACGTGTGATACACACAGTCCACTCGCTACCATGGAGACAGATTTCAGAATCAATTCAAGATTGCCTGGTATTCAAGAGACTGCACATCTGTAAAACTGAGAAGGGCATTTCTTCTTTGCTGCCATTAAGTTAAGCTTTAGAAATGCTGCTCACACAGTTGTTTTTTTTCCTTCCACAGCTTTTAGGGTAAGATGTCAGTGATTACTGATCTTGCTCTAGGTAAGTTTCGCTTTTAGAGGGTTATCCTAAAATTATGTTTAGGCAATATTCTTTCAAAATGCACATCTGTGTGGACTGATATGCTTAAACTTAAATTAAGACTATTAGGAATGATCAACCCCTTAAACAGCTGGGCTAGAAATCTGTTCCATGGCCACATAATTATTCACATGGAGTTCCTAAATACCAAGGGAAAAAAAGTAGACAGGATTTCTGGACTGGATAACTCAAGGAAACACTTGCCACACTGCTGTAATTCCATCCCACTTGCACCTTCTCCTGTGAATGCTCCAGCCAGCAAAGAAAAGAGCAGTGCCCATCTTTGTGCTACACTTAATGCTGCCTTGTGAACTTCTGAACTGAAGTTTTAGGCACTTCTGTGGGAAAACATCTCTAACTGTACCTGTCTCTAAGTATTCTGGCGTACTGCTATAGAGGCTGGACAGGGAAACAATCAAAGTCACAGAAACCATGCTGCAGTCAAAACTGCTCTTCCTTTTTCATACCTGGGGCACAGTTACTCAGTGTTCCTATCTGCAGGAGGAGGCAGGGGATTCCACAAACCCCTGGTCCTCCATATTAACAGTCCCCAGGGGGCATCACTGAAAGTCTTTTTGACACTTCTTCCCAAGGTCTGCCCAACTTGGGCTTGAGCTGGGTCCTTTACCATACAGAACACATCAAAATTCGAGGAGGAGGCAGGGGATTCCACAAACCCCTGGTCCTCCATATTAACAGTCCCCAGGGGGCATCACTGAAAGTCTTTTTGACACTTCTTCCCAAGGTCTGCCCAACTTGGGCTTGAGCTGGGTCCTTTACCATACAGAACACATCAAAATTCGATTTGGGGTGACAAGGTGGAGAGTGGTGGAATGGAGAGGATTCTCTCCGATTCTGAATCTCCTTTATGAAGACCACAGGGAAAACTTTCATTCAGGCTTCAGAAACAGTGCTGCTTTTCCCAAGCAACTCATGTAACCTTATAGGTGGACACTGGCAATTCAGCAGTAGCCCATGTTTCCCTTCCAGCGTCTAGTACGTTTCCAGACTGCTGTTTACTCCTAGCAAACTATAAAGGCCTGTAACATGGTATACTTCTTTGTGTACTTACTTTATCCCTGGATTCCCTGTAATTCGTTTACCCTGATAGTTCATTCTCGTTTTCCTTACATTCCAGAAAACATTTTAACATATATAATTGAGCCACCACGAGTTCTTTTTGAAAGATGTAGCAACTATAATCATACACCAAATAATAAAAATAGGAATTTAACTTCTCACCTTGAGTGTAAGATCAGATCGTTCTTGTAATTTGTAAGTTTTAGAGAAAAGAAGTCTGATTATCCAGAGTATTAAAATTCCTTCTAAAATAAGATGATAAGCAGGAGCCTAGGAGTGAGTCAAAAACAAAAGTAAAACAAAAACAAGAAATAAACAAATATTTCCAAACCTGCATATATAATTTAATGTGCCTGCATATACTACTACCCATGACCCTTACAAAACCTATTTACTACTTCTGAAGATTTACTTCCAAAGCTCACTTTATTTCTGCTCATTCCATTTCCCATTTCTAACAGAAGGCAATTTCTCCTAACATGAAAAATCTCTAAAACTGCACCTTTAAACCATCTTCAGGAATAAAAATTAGTTTTTAAAATAAAATCTGACACAGAATTTCAATAATTAAACAATATTAACTATCAGATCCTTCAGATAATTTGTATTTTTACTGGTACAAAATGACTGTAACAAACATTTTGCAGCATCACAAGCCTTCTATCACCTTCGCATACCCGGATGAACTGAGAATTATTTGGAAACCAGTTTCCACAATTTTCAAAGAATTTTGCACATCTTATGACATTTTCTGTATCCCTGATAAGCCTCTTTAAATTCTCCTTGGAACATGGCAGAAAGACTTTACTAATGCTTAAAGAAATAGCATGTCTCTTTTCTACCATAGCTCCCCAAAAGTATGTAGTGTTTTCCATGTCAACAGGCAAAAATTTACCTTAATGAAATTATCCATGTCAGGTCTTTTCAACTGTACATTTCCAGGATAAAGGCCAAGCTAGCTGACTTTTAGGTTTTATACAACTAAACACACCAAGTGCATGTAGAAGATTCCAGATATCAACTGAATCCCCATCAGTCAGTTATGGAGTGCTGTATTCCAATAGGTTGTCATTGAAAAGCCATTTAAAAGAGGTATTTAGAAATGTAAATACAAACTACTGTAAAGCATTAGACAGAAAGTGATGATTCACAGTAGTTCAAAAAATTCTGAGGTGGTGACAGGGAACCTGCTGACAAATGCATATATAAACTTTCAGATCACTGCACAGGTACCTTTAAAACTGCATACATGTTATCTATGCACCAGTACACAACAAGACTCTTTAAATTCTACATCCAAGGTACACAGAAATTAGAAGCAAAACCAGAAATCTCTCTAAGATTATTTTTAAAATTTGCTGATCCCTCCTGAATATAATTCATTTAAGAATAAGGGCTCTACTAAAAAAAAAAAAAAAAAAAAAAACCTTTTGGTTTTATCAATAATTGGATCATAGCTGACAAACAAATATCCAAGTCACCAGTTAAACATTCCACTCCGCAAAGACATCATCCTAAGAAAAGCTGAAATGTCTAGTAAATTAATAAAAATTATAAATGCAGGTTCTTTTCTTCACTAGGAAAAACATCCAGGAGGACTTCTCTCAAGTCTCACTCATGGTCAGTACTAAGGTATGAGAAGTTTCATAATCAAAGGGCAGTCTTCAGAAAGGCAGCAACAATATACAGTAGAAGTTATTCATTTCTGAAACACAAATCTTAAATTTTAGTGGTTCTTCTTAGTCACTGACAGCTCAATTGGTAAAGAATCCTCCTGCAATGCAGGAGACCCCAGTTGGATTCCTGGGTTGGGAAGATCCGCTGGAGAAGGGATAGGCTACCCACTCCGGTATCCTTGGGCTTCCCTTGTGGCTCAGCAGGTAAAGAATCCACCTACAATGCAGGAGACCTCGGTTTGATCCCTGGGTTGGGAAGATTCCCTGGAGAAGGGAAAGGCTACCCACTCCAACATTCTGGCCTGGAGAAGTCCAGGGAGTCTAGAAGAGTGGGACAAGACTGAGTGACTTTCACTTTCACAGTCACCATGATTAACCTATGGTTGGACATCTCCTAAGCCATACTGTCTCTCTTAACTGTTTTTTGTTTTCATGTCCAAAAAGTCCTGATGGGTCCTGACGCATCTTTCATCATCACCGCTGCCAGTACGTGCAATATTAAGTTTTAAGAAAATTATCGAAAGAAAACTGAGATTCACTTTACATGAATGTGAGTTCTATAAGCACAGCGAGTTTTACCGGTTCGCTCACTGCACTACTTCTAGTATTTACATCTGTGCTGTCCAACACTGTAGTCGCTAGCACCATTCAACTATTTAAATACATATCTAAATTAAATGAAATATTCAGTCCTTCAGCTGTACTAGCCACTTTTCAAGTGCTTAATAGCCACATGTGTTTAGTGGCTACTGAACAGCTCAGAGAACAAGCAGAAAGTTCTACTGTACAGTGCTGGGAAACTCACTAAATGTCGAATGAACATTCTACAAGAACGACATTTAAATTTTATATTATCTTACTACCTGAAATGGCTGGCCTTTCAAAAAACATCCCTTAACTAGTCTTTCTTCAGAGATTTACTAGAGTAGTTGTATCTCTGCAAGACAGAAAATGGGACGTATGCGGAAGAACGACTATTTCATATTCCTGAATCATTCGGCTTCCCTTCCAACACATCATTCGGCTATCTCCCAACAAAAACAAACTCCTACTTATTATTTTTTCCCCTATTACCTGCTCCACAGTTCCAAGGACCTCTCCAGACTGAGAGTTTCCATTTTACTTTCATCTCTCCCGTTTTAGCAGCTCTGGCTTTTGATTAGCCTCTCTCCTGTATCCGGACAGGACCTGGAGAGGGCTCTCCGCTCGCTGGAGAGCAAATCGAGACCCCCAGTTCGGCTCCCACCCGCGCCTCGCAACATTCAGCCGCCCGGAAATGTGTGCCTGTGAGCCCTTCCAGGGAGAGACACCGAGGGTCCGGGCGTGACTGGGCCAGGCCCGCCTAGGCCTCAGAACAAAAATCCACACAAAAGGTCCCACTTCCCCAGGGCTGGGTGTGGTCGTGAGCCCCTGAAGTCGCCAAGCTTACCTCGTAGAGAGCCTGTACCATCTCCACCAGTACCCACTGCTCCGCGGCCGTCGCCATAGTTAGCGGCCGGGACTCCCTTCCGGAAGGCTCTTCAGAAACTGCGCGGCGCGGCCCAGTGATGTCTAGGTGCCCGGGAGGCGGGGCTGCCGGGTTTGGCACCGCCTTCTCGCGCCTGCGTTTTGGGTGGCTGGCAGCTGCGTTGTCTGAGGGAGGATTAGCCTGGTGTGGTGAATGTTGACCTTAGGATCTCTCAAGGGTGTGGGGAGTGGTGAGAATCGGCAGGCTGGTCCCCGCATCATGTGTTCACAGCCCGGCCATTAACTGCTGGACCCTGTGCTGGGCTCTTGGGATGGAGGGGTTGTAATAGATGACCCTCACGCTTGGCAGGCAGTTGGGTTCAGGGAGTTATTATGCAATCGCAAACATATTCTTTACTTTTAAATTATGTAAGTAATGCAAGAATGCATTATAATTTAAAAAAAAAAAAGACAAGACAACTAACTATACCACTTACCGTGTAAGGATTTGTACGTATTAAGCCGTATAGCAGTTAGCTGTGGAACCTTCAAGAGCGTAGGTATCCAAACGTGATGTGCGCATACTTCGGTTGGATTTCTTAAATATAACTGGGAGCATAGGGATAATACTGCTGCACAATTGTCTTCTCTTCTTTTTTCTTTCTGGGCCTGTAAATGTTGTATTTATAACCAATGAAGAAGCCTATTTATTGTAACTTGTTCTGTGTATTTCTCATCACATTTTATTTAAGACTTTCTATTTTGGGGGGCTTCCCTGGTGGCTCTCCCCCCCCCCCGCCCCACTTTTTCACCTGCTACAAACAATGCTCAGTAACCATGGATGTGTGTATGTCTTTCTGTGCATGTTGGGGTATTTCCAACAGGTTTCCCCAAAGTCAGATTTTACTCAGTGTGCATGTTAATGTCAGTAAACACTGCCATACTGCTCTCCAGAAGGGCTCGATCAATTTTAAATATTTGAAAGTGTTGTTGTTCTGTTGGTAGTCGCCAAGTCCTGTCTTTTGAGACTCCATGGTCTGTAGCCTGCCAGGCTCCTCTGTCCATGAGATTTCCCAGTCAAGAATAGTGAAGTGGGTTGCCATTTCCTTCTGCAGAGGATCTTCCTGACCACAAGGATTGGATGTCACCTGAAGTTTTCAAAGGTGATCTAAATATAATCTGGGGGGACAAATGATTTAGATGAAAGTGAGATAAAAGTATCTTCCAAAATCATTTGGTAACTTAAAACTGTATAGCTTTTCTGTAAATAAAATTAAATGATGAAAATTCATCAAAAGTCTAAATCATTTCCAAATATGATAAAATACTGAAATATTAATTGCCTAAGTCTCTTACTTATTTTTGTCTTTTTATTATAGCAAAACTAAATATGTTTAGATTTATTAGAAACATGTCATGTACCAGATTAAGAAAATCATTATGTTATGAGGAAATGTATGTTTCTGGAAATTATGAAATATAGTCACAAGGTTGCCAACCAAAAACTATTGGTATAACAAGCAGTTCACAATCACTTACTGCTGTTTTCTTAGAAATTAAAGTTTCTAAGGGTTAAGAATTGTAATTAATATGCAATTAAAATTAGTAAGGAAAACATCTTCTTATGTATGGAAAAAATGTACAAGGAGTAGAAATGCATTTTGCTAAGGGGAACACAAGTAATTTTGTCCTAAAAAGAAGTTTAAAAAAAAAAAAAAGAGGAAGGGAAAGCATAGGACAAAATTTGAATATATAAAAGAAAGAAGTTATATAGAGGCTTATGGAAAAGAAACCCTGAGAAAAGTTTTGTGTGTGCTTAGGACTGGCTAAGGTTAAAATAAATTTAATTAAATGAATGAATTTTAATATTAAAACTAAGCTGTTGCTGGGAATTCCCTGGTAGTTCAGGGGTTAAGGCTCTGTTTCCACTGCAGAGTGCATGGGTTTGATCCTTGGTCAGGAACTAAGATCCCACAGGCCACTCAGTGTGGCAAAAACCACAAAGCTGCTGCAAAACTAGAATTTTATTTTCTCTGTCTGTTAAGAGGACAAAGTTTTCTTGCAATATCAATCTGTTTGATAGCAGACTATTGAATTTATTTACCTCTTAAGTAGTTTGTTGTAATTTTCTGTATTTGCCTTTGAAATATTTTATTGTCACTTTGGTTAAGTGAATAAATATTCATTTATAGTGATGTATGATCCTATTTGAATGAGTGTTTTAAAACCTTTTGATATATTTGACAAATTTCTCCAAATCAAATTCTGGATAAAGCCTTTTTGACCTCAAGCTAACTTTGAGATTTTTCAGAAGGCCCCTGAAAAAATCTCAAAAGAGTAATATTAAACTTATTAGGTTGCAGAGTTCCAAAGAACAGCAGTGAGAGATAAAAAGGCTTCCTATGTGATCAATGCAAAGAAATAGAGAAAAACAATAGAATGGGAAAGACTGGAGATCTCTTCAAGAAAATTAGAGATACCAAGGGAACATCTCATGCAAAGATGGGCTCAATAAAGGACAGAAACGGTATGGACCTAACAGATGCAGAAGAGATTAAGAAGAGATGACAAGAATACAGAGAAGAATTCACCCAAATATATAAGTATTACAGGCAAATCTGATGGCAAGTCCTTGGTGTGGCTTCATGACTTTGTGGCCTCCATAGGCAAATAAAAATTTAACTTAGAATTCCTTGTGAAAAGTTCCAGCAAAGCAAATTTTAAAAAGCTTTTATGGTCAATCATCATTTTTTCTGGACGTATTTAAGTAATCAGGCCAGGTTTAATGAAACTAAGCTTGTTTTACAATCTAGTGTTTATTCAGCTATCTGTTAGAAATAAAGGTGATATTAGAGAAAAATGTTTTTCAGTAGAAATTTAATACACAGTTATAGATACTAGATTCTAGTTCTGTTAGTTATATTCAAGGTTTTGCTTTTCCACTAGTTAGCGGAACTGGATCCTGAATTCTCCTAGTTCCCTCAAAAGTTTTACTATAAAGTTCAAACTAATGTTTTCAATGTTTCTCCCACTTTTGACTTGGAATCATTAGGAACTAAAACTTCTCTTTTCCTGAATCTCTGCAGACTGAAAATGAATAACTTGATATAAATTTAAGAGAGATGACCACAATAGCCCAGGGTTAGACAATCTTTGTGCTTATTGCTATGTAAGCCAACAGAAAATTTACCTAAACACCCAAAGACATCCTCAGAGACATTCCAAACTGCAAAAGATCTTCAGATCTGACCGAGAAATCTGGGCTGGCAGCTCTTGGGACTCAAGACAGTGGGTTTACAATGTGCTCTAATCATTAAGCATTGTTTTTCTTTCATCTCCGTAGAAACGCCTCTTATTAAATACCTGACTGCCCATACCCTTAGACCTAACTTTGAGAGCCCACCTGCATCTCCACTTCCTGAAGTAAGTAACTAAACTGATCTGTTATCAGGACTAAGAGACTGGTTCAAAGAGATATAAAACAATCTATCAATTTAACTTCTGGACCGTGAAACTTAATTGAAGTTTCAAAAGTGGGACTGCAAAGGAGCAAAATTTGCCCCCTCCAAAATGTTTCTTTGGCATGCAAATTATTTTGAGCTGAAAAAAGTCAAAGCCCAAAAGACTCAGAAAGAACCTTTGACCTTCCTCCTAACTGCTCAAAGAATGTAGATAGAAAAGCTGTTTCAGGTAGGGGGCTATCACCATAGATAACTATGGTATGAACTGGGCATGTAGACAGGAACCTAGCAAAGTGCTTGTTAGAATTCCTCTCTGTTCCCCTCTGCAGACCCAACAGACATTTGTTTATCAAACATTTGCTTTTCCATATCCATGTAAATTGCTTTCCTCCTCTTTGAAGTCCCAAACCACTACCCACAACATCCTATTTTATCTCTAGCCAAAGATGATATGTAAAGTGAGAATTTCTGCCATTTTGCCGAGTTACCCAGTTTTCCTGGGTCTCTACAATGTACACATTGTTATTAAATTTTTGTGTGATTTTCTCCTGTTAATCTGTTTCATGTCAATTTGATTCTGAGACTACCCAGACGAATCTACAAGGTTGGAGGAAAAATGTCTTCTTCAACAGAGTGAACCTGCAAAACCCTAAGCTCCCCAACCTTGGACCCTAACAAAGGCAGAGCTCCAGATTCTCTCCAAGTTCTCTCTCCCTCTCCACCTCTCCCACCCCATGACTTCACAGTGTGGCCCTGAAGCATGCTGTGGACTCTCCAAAACCTGTGAGTAATAAATCTTGTTTTTTAAAGTTCTCTTATGGTTTCTGCTGAAGTGCATACTGCAGTGATAATAAGATTCACAAGGCCCAGGCCAGGTCAGGGAAATGCCTGTGGAGGCTGCCACAGTAATACAGGCCCTGGGCAAATGTCTCAGGCATTGCTAACCAACAGTATCACTTATCAGTAGGCTGAAACTAACACAACATACACATACAAGTATTATTTTTAGTAATGTTAAACACTCTTTGTTTATTTTGGGTACCAGGTGGTTTATTTCAGGCTGAAGCATCATGTCTTTCTTCAGTTCTAGAACAATTTTTTTGACTATTTCTATTTCACTTATGTGATTTTTTTTAAAAAAATTTATTTATGGGAGAAATTATTTGAAAACTACATAACAGGTAAGAAATTAACATTCAGAATAAAGAACCTCTACAACTGAACAACAACAAAAAACAAACTACCAAGTCAAAAAATGGACAAGAGATTTGAGCTGACATTTCACCAAAGAAGATATACAATTAGTCACTTAGCACATAAAAGAATTCTTAATGGTGTTGAATTACACACTTAAAAGTGGTTAAAGTTGTAAAATTTGTTACGTGTGCATGTTGTACCACAATGAAGAACTGCTTTTTCTTTATATGTATATATTTATATTTTATATACATTAACTTTTTCTTCAAATTGCCAATGTTTGTCCTTTTAAGTTTCATTTTGGTAGACTTCCTGGTGTCAGCTTTCTAATCCTCTTTATTTTTAGTTGTTCTTATTCAGCCCATCTGATCATTGATTTAAAATCTAATTTCAGTGATCATTTTTAATTTCTAGAAAGGCTAATTGTTTAAAATTCTAGATGTGGAATTCATTCATTCATCAACATGTTGAGCACTTACTTCCTAAGGCACTGGAGCATAGAAATGCACAAAATACTCATATCCCTGCCCTCCTGGAGCTTACACTCTAACTAATAGACAGATAATAAACAGATAACATGGCTTAGTGTTATGAAATGCTATGAAGAAAAGGAAAGTATGTACAGAGATAAGGAATTATAGAGAGTGCATAGGGAAGGCCCTCTGAAGAGATGTTGTTAGAACAGAACAACATTAAAGAAATGAAATGTATGAATCTTTGGTGAAAGAGTGATCTAGGTGGAGGAAAGACCAAGTGATGAGAAAATGTTTTGGAAATTCAAGCAACACCAAAGATGTGAGGTAACTGTAAGGTAAGGGTCAGTTCAGTTAGTTCAGTTGCTCAGTCATGTCTGTCTCTTTGCAACCCCGTGGACTGCAGTATGCCAGGCTTCCCTGTCCATCACCAACTCTCAGAGCCTACTCAAACTCATGTCTATTGCGTCGGTGATGCCATCCAACAATCTCATCCTCTGTAGTCCCCTTCTCCTCCCACCTTCAATCTTTCCCAGCATCAGGGTCTTTTCCAATGAGTCAGTTCTTCATATCAGTATTGGAGTTTCAGCTTCAGCATCAGTCCTTCCGATGATTATTCAGGACTGATTTTCTTTAGGATTGACTGGTTTGATCTCCTTGCAGTCCAAAGGACTCTCAAGAGTCTTCTCCAACACCACAGTTCAAAAGCATCAGTTCTTCAGCTCTCAGCTTTCTTTATAGTCTAACTCTCACATCCATACATAACCACCATGGCAGAAAACAAAGGAGAACTAAACAGCTTCTTGATGAAAGTGAAAGAAGAGAGTGAAAAAGTTGTCTTAAAACTCAACATTCATAAAGGTAAGGGAAGTTCCTGCAAAACTCCTGATTTAGATGCAGTTGGTAAACTTGGTTGAGGTGCGAAGTCGTCATTCCAGAGATATCATCTGAAGGTAGAGCTGATAGGATTCGCTATTGGGGGTTGGGAGAGAAAGGAGGATCAGGATGCTCTTAGGTCTTTATCCTGAATCAATGAGTAAATGGCAGTACCCTTTTATGAGATGGTAAAGATAAGGTGAGCAAGTTTGAAATATATGAAATATATATATATGAAATATATATGTTAGACATACATGTGGAGATGTCCCAAAGACATGTGGATGTTTGGATCTGAGTTCAGAGGCGAGATCAGGAATAGAAATGAAATCAAGTGTAGATACAGAAGAAAAGAGGTATAAAGGCTATGCCTTAAAGCACTCCTTTCTGGGTGTATTAACTGCATTTACTTTAAAATTGTCTTCTGTTTTCTCCGTTAATCACATTTCCTCAGATATAACTTCTATTTGATCATATTAGGTATTAGTACATTTGAAAAATATTTCTAAAGTTAAAATTTTTTTCTAAAATTTTAATTTTTTCCTACCTTGGACTGCTGCCACTCAGAGATTGAATAAAATGAATGTTAATATAGTGAGAGACTTTACCATAGCCTCTGAACAGACTTTTTAATTAAAGCCCAGTAAAATCCCATTTACTTTATGTATCAAGATTTCCCTAACTTTTCAATATGAATGGCCATCCAAGATTCACCACAAAGTTGAAAAATCCTTTAATATGAAAGAAAAACACTAAAACAAGGAATAAAAAGGACTTGACCCAAGTGACTTTTTAGCTGTGACAAATGTACCATACAAGTGTACACTGTTTAATAATAGGGGAACTAGTTGTGAGTTATGTAGGATTTTTACTACCTTCACCATTTTTTTCTGTAAATCTAAAACTATTGTAAACTCAAAAAGCTTATTTAAGAACTTGGGGAAACACAGTTAATGTGAAATGAAGAAGGAAAAAATATATTTTCAGGGAAAAAAAGAAGAATATAATGCAACCACAAGGCAAGAGCCATGTGTCATAAAAATGAACATCTAGCTAATAAGGAAGAACTCTTCAGAATTAAAAGCATGGAAGCAGAAATGAAAGAATGTACTAAAGGTCTTGAAAGATAAAGTTGAAGCAGTGTTCCAGAAAGCAAAACAAAAGCACAGAGGTTAAAAAAATTAGGGACAAAAGACATAGAGATGAGAGAATAAGTTTAGGAACTGAAAGATTAAAAAACTTGAGTTCCAGAAAGGTAGTACATGAGAAAAGGTGGAGAGGAAGCAAGCTAAGACATACTCTAAGAAAATTCCCCAAAGGACATGAGTTTCCAGATTGAAAAACTCCCTCAAGTGCCCAACCCACTGAATATTAGAAGTCCCACAACTACTTACACTTTGTAAAGATGAAGAAAAATGAGAATATAGAAAGCTCCTAAATCTTCTAAAAGAGGAGATAAAACAGTCACACAAAAAGGATCAAGTGTAAAATGGCATCAGGCTTCTCAGTATTATTAGAAACTAGACAGTAGAGCAGGGCCTTCAGACTTCTGAAGGAAATGATTTCCAACAAAGGATTCTATCATTAACTGTCCATAATTAATAGAAATAGAATGAAGATACACAGTGCATATAAATTAGGATCACCTAGGTGATGCTGCAGTAACAACCATCCCCCAAATCTTTGTGGCTTATTATAACCAGTTTATTTCTTACGTATGCTACATGGTACAACAGACTGGTTCCATATCAGGAAAGGAGTACATTAAGGCCGTATAGAGTCACCCTGCTTATTTAACTTATATGCAGAGTACAGCATGAGAAATGCTGGGCTGGATGAAGCACAAGCTGGAATCAAGATTGCCAGGAGAAATATCAATAACCTCAGATATGCAGATGATACCACCCTTATGGCAGAAAGTGGAGAAGAACTAAAGAGCCTCTTGATGAAAGAGAAAAAGGAGAATGAAAAGTTGTCTTAAAGCTCAACATTCAGTAAACTAAGATCATGGCATCCAGTCCCATCTCTTCATGACAAACAGATGGGGACACAATGTGAACAGTGAGAGACTATTTTTTGGGGCTCCAAAATCACTGCAGATGGTGACTGCAGCCATGAAATTAAAAGACGCTTGCTCCTTGAAAGAAAAGCTATGACCAACCTAGACAGCATATTAAAAAGCAGAGACATTACTTTACCAACAAAAGTCCATCTAGTCAAAGCTATGGTTTTTTCAGTAGTCATGTATGGATGTAAGAGTTAGACTATAAAGAAAGCTGAACACTGAAGAATTGGTGCTTTTGAAAGGTGGTGTTGGAGAAGACTCTTGAGAGTCCCTTGGACCGCAAGGAGATCCAACCAGTCACCCCTAAAGGAAATCAGTCCTGAATATTCATTGGAAGGACTGATGCTGAAGCTGAAACTCCAATACTTTGGCCACCTGATGCAAAGAAGTAACTCATTGGAAAAGACCCTGATGCTGGGAAAGAGTGAAGGTGCGAGGAGAAGTGAACGACAGAGGATGAGATGGTTGGATGGCATCACCAACTCAATGGACATGAGTTTGAGTAGGCTACGGGAGTTAGTGATGTACAGGGAAGCCTGCAGTGCTGTAGTCCATGGGGTTTCAAAGAGTCGACACAGCTGAGTGACTGAACTGAACCGAACTGAACTGATGCTACCTCCCTTCATAAATTTGAGATTAGAGGAGCTTCTGCAATGTCTCTCTTCTTCATGTTCCGGGCCAACACAAAAGCCACCTTCCTGGACATCACCTAAAGTTGTATCGCTGCCAGGCTCGCACTAGCAATTAGTGCTCTGGCATTAGGTGACATGCCCTTTTTATTCATATGGCAAGAAGGTATGTTGCTAGCCCATGTTTGGAAAACAGAGCCAGAAATTTTGGTGAGTAGCACTAATGCCTGGCAAACAAGTTCTTAATAACTGATATACTTTGGTACTCTTTCTCAAGAAACTCCTGAGTGATATGCCACACCCAAATGAGTAAGCAGAACAAGAAAGCAGATGACATGGGGCACCTCAGGGAGAAAAAAAGGGAAGAAAATTCCAAGATGACAGCTGTGGTCAGGGCTAAGTGTAGCTAGGCCAAATTGGATTAAAATGATGAAGGGCAGAAGGAATGGACCTAAGTAGGTCCAACAGCAAGGAAAGAAAAAAAAAAAAACAGAAGAAAAATGTTATAGAGATGAATCGCTATTTGGCTTGACAGTGAACAATGTCCAAAGTCATTTTGTAATAGAAACACTATGAATGAACTTCAATGAAAAATGGAAAGATTGGAGTTGGTGAAATGTGTATGAGAGACAATGTAAGACACCTGAATATTCATCTTCTATATTAGTGGTCCCCAGCCTTTTTTACTAGGTACTGGTTTCATGGAAGACAGTTTTTCCACAGATGAGGATAGAGGGGATTGCTTGGGGATGATTCAAGCACATTACATTTATTGTACACTTTATTTCTAATCGAATGCCACCACTCATCTGATAGAAGGTACCAGCCTGGAGGTAAGGTAAGCTCTTAACAAACAATGGCAAAATGAAAACATCATAGCAGAATAGCACGAATAAATAGCGGAACAGCATGCTGTTTAAAAACAAAAAGCAATTTTTAGAAATAACTTTGTCTTTTTCGAAATGGGAATGTGGGGTGAGGAAGGGTGAACCAGGACTGATTTTTTTAAAGAAAGTAAATCTTGTTCTTTTATCTAAATTCTCAAGATATAATATACATAAGCATGTATATATTTTGTATAGAAGATTATCTGGAGAGGGAATGGCAACCCACTCCAGTATTCTTACCTTGGAAATCCCATGGACAGAGGAACCTGGTGGGCTACAGTCCATTGGGTTGGAAAGAGTCCAGCACAACCAAACAACTGAGCGTGCACACACACACACACACACACACACACACACACACGTATATATATATATATGTACTAAATTGGAAAAAGCAAAATTTTTTAAAGTTGTATCCTTAACTGTCCTTTATAATATTTTACCTAACATATTTAGCATTATATGTCAGTTGCTGTTATTGGTAATTTCTGTGAATTGCACAGTGGAATAATATCTTATTTTGGGATGTAGAAAGATTGCTGTTTGTATCTAAAATCAAATAGATTTGTTGGCATAATGAAATTAACTCTGAAAATTCCTTAAATCTCAGCATTCAAATAATTTGTGAGAAATTAAAAAATTGAGGTTCAGGTCATCCCTGAATAGCTCTAGTCCTGTAACTCAACAAAGCCATTGAGGACTCTGATTTTTCTGAGATCTGTGTTCCACTGTCCAGAGCAGAAATTCTTTGTAAGACCAGTATCAAGGTAATTTTAAGACAAGTATTCCTCACTGGTTATAAGACAGCAGCTGATGGTAATCAATTCTGCATGCTTCCATGTTCATATCCAGGCAAAGAAAGACTGGTTTCCTGAGGTTTTTTTTTCTTAAGGGCAAGGAACCAACTTTTTCAGAGATCCTGAGAGCTCTGCTTGGCCGACACTGGCTTAGATCTGCCCATTCTTGAATCACCAAGTGTAAAGGAGCAAAGAGGTAATTCACTGGTACACAGTGGGAAGAATAGAATGGATAATGGAGTCAATCACAGTCCCCTTCACTGGTCTCCTCATTTTATCTTCTTTTTCACCAATCCATTCAATATAATAGCTATCTGACTATGCCACTTATCACTTATAATCCGTAAACAGTATGGAAGCTAGTCTTCAAAGATTATCTTCCCATCGAATTATACCTCCTGGTATTCGCATCTTGAATCTGAGTTGGCTTTGCAATTTGCTTTTGACCAATGATGCCATGTAACATATGAAGGTGGATCATAAAGAGCTTTACTTTTTCCACCTGAACCTCTAGGAAAAGTCTTTCTTTAGAATACTCCCTGTAGGAAACCACTCTACTGTGAGTTTTTTCAGACCAGTATTATTCCCTGGTTATAAGACAACAGCTGATGATAATCAGTTCTGCATGATTCCATGTTCATATCCGGGCAAAGAAAGACTGGTTTCCTGAGGTCTTTTTTCTTAAGAGCAAGGAAACAACTTTTTGATTCCATGATGCTAAAGCCACATGTAGAGGCCATGAATAGGCATGATGGTTGACGGCCCCAGTTGAGCTCCCAGACAACAGCACATCAGTGAGTCACTTGGGACATTTGGCCCAGCTGAACTTTCACATGACTGCAAGTCCCAGCTTCTAAATTTGCACAACCTCCTCTAAGATCGCAAGTGATAACTGCCCAGCTGAGCACAATCAACCTACAGAACAGTGAGATAATAATAAATTGGTGCTTTTTGCCATTAAGTTCTGAGGTGATTCACGACTTAACAACCGATCACTGAAACGAATACCTTCCCAAACATACCAGTTTTGGTTGCATTTGGCTGTAATTAAGAGGACTGACCAACAGTGACTTAAACAATGGCCTTAAGTGATCCTACATATCATAAAGCCTGGGGGAGACAGCTCCAGGATTTGCGCAGAGGCTCAGCACAGTCAAGGACCCAGATGCTACTTTTCCTTTCGGCCATTTCAGCCTGGTGGCTTTGTGTTGTTAGGATTGTCATGGGTTCCAGATGACCACAGTGCCACCCTGTCACATAGAGTCAGGACAAGAGGGGTAAGGCGAAAAGGATGTCTTCTCTTGACCTCTGAAGTTTTGCTTGAAAATCTGATTTTTCCCAGTGACCCTCCAGCGTTCTTCCATTTTTTCCTTTATTGATTAGAACTGGTCACTTGCCAGCTCTTTGCTAGTCACTGGGAAAGGAGGCATAGAATTAGCCAACCAATTATGACAAATATTTTGAGCCTTGGACCTGGGCCTACCTTCACTGAGATCAAGTGTTCTCTGCCCACTGCTTCAATAAAATGGGGTTCTGGTTTTAGAAAATAAGGTATAGCATTGGATGTGCCATGGTACCTGCCACATCATTACATAAAGCCCAGTCTTCAACCATCCTTTGTCTTGTGCCCTATTGCCCACTAACCTTTTCCTTCTTCTTGTCTGTGTATCTCGGCAGGATGTACCTAGAATGCTGTCTTCTCCCAGCCTCGATCTGAGACATATATCCTTCAGATCTCAGCTCAAACACTACTTTCTCAGGGAGTTCCCCCTCCCTGAGTTATGTGGTCTCTCAGGACTCTACTTTTTTTTTTCCTTTTAGAACTCTGCACTTCTTGATTCCTTGTAATAAAACCTAAGTATGTAGTTGTGTGTGTTTGAATTAATGCCTGCCTTCTCCATTAACTAAAGAGCTGGGAAAATATTTTTGTCCCTGTTTTCCCAAGAATTGAGTGGATGCTCAACACACAATTAAGAAATATGTGAATGACTGTGTTTTACTCCGTCACCTTCACCCATACCTCCCTACACTGTTACTGTATAAACACTGGATCATTTAAAAAATTATTCTGGATCCTAAATCCTGTAAAGCTTCAACAGGGTGATCTTAGATTGTCCCAATAGTAAGCTCCATTTTACTTAAGCAAGAGTTTATTTTATGCTTACTGAAATTATTGTTTCAGTTCAGGATACTATAAATAAACGGTTCATAATGTCATAGAATCCTATTTATCTTTCAAGTCTTGGATAACTATTACACATTTTTCTAAAAGTCCAGATTAACATAATTAGGAGAGCCCTCTTAAGGAAGTTTAAATTAATTTTGTAGAAACTAATGTATTTTATCACATACTCAACCTAAGTGTCCTGATGTGACCCTGTAACTTGAGTTTCTTAGGGAACAGAGTCTTAGAGGAAGTCTTAAAGGGTAGATGATTTGGTAGTGGACAGTCTTCTGTGCCAATAGTCTACAGAGATAGATGTAAAAAAAACAGTATTTCCATACTTTATTTTAAAGGAGAAACCCTGTATTAAGTTACTGTCTGTGCTTCTGAATTTCCCTCCTATACATACCAACTCTTTGACCTTGAGTTGCTTAACCTCTCTGTGTCCTAGTTTCCCCAGTTGTGAAATGGGATGAGATTGTTGTGAGGATTAGGTGAGTTAGCATATGTAAAGTGCTTTGAACAGTGGCTGGCCTGTGGTAACTGCTATGCAACTGGGTTATTATTCCAGTGTCTAGCATAGAGGCAGGATCTCAATGCGGATCCACCAAAAGCATGCATTTTCAAAGTTTGAACCCAAGCTCTACCACTTAACCAGCTCTAGGACCCTTGGTAAATCATTTATTCTCTTTAAACCTCTGTATTCTCATCTGTGTAATAGGGATAATATCTACCTTATGAAATACAGGTTAAGTTAAATTAAATCAAGTTGTGGCTGCAAGTACCTGATAGACAATACTGCTCTGTTTGATGTCTCAGCCACCAAGAAGCCGTCATACCTGCGTGACAGGCTAGAGTGCCTGGGACTGCAGGGCACAAAGGGCATTAAGAAGCCATTAAGCTCAAGTCTGATCATTTTTCAGAGGAAACAAATCCAGGCCAGAAGGAGAGGGGATAAAGTGACTTGTTCAAAGTCATCTAGGTAGTTAGAGACAGAGACCTGTTGTAAAAGAAAAACAATTGTGCACCTCTCTGTTTTATGATGACATATTTTGTTTTATTATGTTTACATTGTGTTAATTTGTAATCACCCTTCTTTTCTAGGAGTTGCAAATATCATTACTTCCTGTAGTCCAGCTGTTACCCATCAAAGTAAGAGAAGCAGAGATAAGTTAGTTGCATGAGCTGGGACCCCTTAACCCTTCACTGTCTTTTAGGAGACCTGTTACAGACAAGGTCCTCTGAATAGGAGGAGTTGATGGATTAGAGCCTGTCTGGGGAACCCTGGGGCAGAGGCTGTCCTGGTTCAGAGGCCAGTGTAAGGGCCCAGGGTCAAGAGTCAAATTCTATCTCTGTTTCCTATAATGAGCAAAACAATCATTTTTTCAAATGACTGTATTAGTTTTTAATGAGAATCAGCCTTCTCTTGGGCTTCCCAAGTGGTGTCAGTGGTAAAGAATCCTCCTGCCAAAGTAGGAGACGTACGAGGTGCCGGTTTGATCCCTGGGTCAGGAAAATCCCCTAGAGAAGGGAATGGCAATCCACTCCAGTATTCTTGCCTGGAAAATTCCATGGACAGAGGAGCCTGGTGGGCTACAGTCCATGGGATCACAAAGAGTTGGACATGACTGAGCACCCTTGTACACACACACACACACACACACACACACACACACACACACACAGGTGTGGTCTTATCTTAATGGGTGATCTTTAATACTACCGCTATGCACCTATAGAGAATATCTTTATAAAAGGCCCAAAGGTCATATCAGATAAATATCTGGAAGCAGACAGTGATCCTGTTGGTCTAACTTTCTTGAAGGTTCATTGAGCCAAATGGGAGAGCCCCGTGTGGCCACTCAGTGACTCCTGAGTGGGCTTGCTTCATCCAAACTGGAGGCAGCTCCAGCACCCACTGCAGGGCAGTGTTTGGAGCTGCAGGAGTGAACACTGGGCCCAGACATGCATCTGGGCCATCAGGGGAGACTCACCCCAGCAGCAGTTGTGGGATTTTCATCTCTCAGACTGTTGCTCAGCGTTTTATCTGCCCCTGTATCAGGCACCAAGGTTGACCCAGTGCCAACCTAGAATTAGCCCAGATCTATGCTGGCTTCTACTGATGAACTTTTGTCCACTTCCTGTGAAGAATAGAGTTTTACCCACTTAAAAATGGTGTGGGGGAGAGTGGATACATGTACATGTATGGCTGAATCCCTTCACTCTTCACCTGAAACTACCACAACATTGTTAATAGGCCATGTGCTGTGCTGTGCTTGGTCACTCAGTTCTCTCTGACTTTTTGCAACCCCATGAGCTGTAGCCCACCAGGCTCCTCTGTCCATGGGGATTCTCCAGGCCAGAATACTGGATTGGGTTGTCATGCCCTCCCCCAGGGGATCTTCCCAACCCAGGGATCGAACCCAGGTCTCCCACATTGCAGGCAGATTCTTTACCAACTGAGCCACCAGGGAAGCCCAAGAATACTGGAGTAGGTAGCCTATCCCTTCTCCAGGGGATCTTTGTGACCCAGGAATCAAACTGGGGTCTCCTGCATTGCAGCTGAATTCTTTACCAGCTGAGCTACCAGAGAAGCCCCATTAATAGGCTATATCCCAGTACAAAATAAAAAGTTTAAAGTTTGGGGAAAAAAGGAAAAAAGAAAAGAAAGTGTTTATTCTTTCACAGGAAACAAAATTTAATCAAAATCCTAGTTCCGAAACCAAACAAAATAGAACATAGCAAATCTAATTTACTCAGTTCAGTTCAGTCACTCAGTTGTGTCCGACTCTTTGCGACCCCATGAATTGCATTAACTAGGGAAGGAAAAAAGAGTGAAGAGTTCGTGTTAGGTCTGAGGAGTCAAATTTAACAAAGAAGCTGCTTGTAGGAAACTTGAAAAATGAATATGAACCGCTAAAATGAATATGCTCAAGAGAAAAAACCCTGTTGATAGTATTGTTGCACTCTGGTGTTGTGTCTTTGTGTTGGGTGGTTGGTGGGAAGCATGTTGTTTAGAGGGAAGTCCCAGGAACACTGCACTTCTCAGCTCTGCTGCTCATAAAAACAGAACCCTGAGCTTAAAACCACCAGGGGACTTGGGCTTGGACAAAAGGAAGTTCTATTTTAGATGCAAACTATAATAACTAGGATGGATAAACAACAAGATCCTACTTTTAGCACGGAGAACTTGGGTTGACCAGAAAAGTTCGTTTGAGTTCTCTATGTTACAGGAAAATCCGAACAAACTTTTTGGCCAACGCAGTATATTTACTATCCTATGATAAACTATAGTGAGAAGAATTTGAAAAAGAGTATTTATATGTATAACTGAGTCACTTTGCTGTACAGAAGAAATTAAAGTTTGGGGGAGAAAGGAAGTTTACCCAACACTGTAAAGCAACAAAATTTGCAAGAAAAATTTTAAAAAGAAGAGGCTATTTTGCAAGTGAGGCTTCTGAACTTTTAAGATCTATGCTTAGTGTTGGGGAGAGAAAGAGGGTGCAGGGTGGTTAGGAGGATGAGTTAAGCCCCACATACACCCTTCCTAGCTGTGTGCCTCATTTCCTTATCTGTCAAGCTGGGATGATGGTGGAAATCAATTCCATGGGTGACTGTGGAATAATAAACAAGACAGAACAAGACAGAACATGCTAAAACTGTGCCTGGCACATAACCTAAATTCACTTAGACCCTTACTGTTACTCTGCAACAGTAACAGTTTTTGAGTACCTGTCATGTTTTAGACTTAGTGCTGGGAGCTTGCCTCCAAACTCCTCATAGCAACCTCAACAGTAACAGTAGAGAAGAGCTTGTATAGAGTTTCAGACAAGAAAAGAATTGTGAGCTTGTGTTGATCAGGAAAAATATTCCTGGAGTAGGAAGACTTAAGCTGGGCCACTTAAGGAGAAAGAGGATGAACTGAGGGGTTGAGTAGGGAGTTGGTGATGAGGTTTTCAGGAAATGGGAGCACCATGGGCAGCGGCATAGAGGCAGGGATAGGGCACTATCCATCCAGCACAGCTAGAGACCTTCCTTGATGACAGGAAAGAAGAGAAGTCAGAGCTACTCAGATCCCACAGGATGCACAAGCATCCTCTCTTCCAGTTCCACTGGTTGAGACAGATGACTTGCATTTGTCATTCAGGAAGCATCTTTTCACATGCGTTTAGTTTCAGTGACTCACAATCATGTACAACCAATCCTTATCAGTTTTATACATTAGAGTCAAATATATACATTATCTATATATTTATGTCTGCACACTCATGCATATATACATGCATTCGTGTGTATATGTGTGTGTATGCATGTATATATCGATACACTACTTTGCATTTTTGGGTGAGTCATTCTCCCTTTCCTGACCTCAGTTTCCTGATATGTATGCAAAAGGGTTTGACAAGGTTCTTACTATAATTGCTGGGGTCAATGGAAATAATGAATAAACAACTTTATAATAAGAATAGAGGAGAGTTTACTCAACCCAAACTGGGGACAGTAGCTCAGAAGACATCTTCTCAAATTGCTCTGAGCAAATCCCCCAGGGAAACGTAGTTTTCAGGACAGTTTTATATTTTGTCAGAACAAAACATCAGGCACGATGGGGGTATATTTCTTCAAGGTTTCAAAAAAGGCTGGCACATACACAGTGAGTCAG